TTTTTTAAAACGAAAACGGAAAATCTCCGTTTTCAAAAATACCCGTGTACGTGTGGACGTAGCCTCATATTCATCATTAAGAAACCAAGAACAACTTCAGGCTTCTTTTTAACACAAAAGGGTCACAGCTCTGTTGAGCCTTGTATTCCTTTAGTTCTCAGAATTAAATACTTTATGAAGTTCTATATAAATAAAGGCTGTGGTTAGTTTTTTGATCTTCAGCTGCTTCCTGCAGATGGCCCAGATACATCACCAAACATCACCGAGCACAGATGCTTGCTTCTAAACCAACCTCAGTATTCCATCCAAACCAGGCTCGGGTGTGAAATTTAGGGTTTTGAGGGGTTTTGTTGTTACCTCAGTTTCCCTGGGTCTTTTCCCCTGTTGTAGTTTTGTGTCTTATTTTGAAATAAATATTTACGCATTACCATAGCGACCAGAGAGCACTAAGGGGCAGAGAGGAGGATGTTACTCTCAGTGTTGTTGGTGCATTTCAGGAGGACGCTGCTAATAAAGTTACACAATTATAAACAGAATTTATTATTATATTTAAAAAAATACCACAGTTTTTGTCTTGGTCGAATCATTTTATTTTGTTGTATTTATCCCCAAACCTAAAGGCCGGTGGTGAAAATATTGTCTGACATTAAACCGGTCCGTGGCACAAAAAAGGACCGCTGGGCTGCATAAACCTTTAACTTTGAGCCTTTTTGCTGATATCCAACCTCTAACTATCTCCTCAAAGACTCACGCATGGACTCGTCTCCATATTTGTCCTGCTGGATCTCAGTCCTGCATTTAGTTCATGTTAATGAAGAATGATGCAAACAGGCTTCTGTGATAGAGCCGGTACTTTTTAAACTTTACGGGTCAAAGTCTGGGTCACGGTCTTATCGTCAGCGCTGAATGAGGTTACTGAGGTTATGCTTCAATATTGCCCAGGCTGCTGGGGGACTTCTTATAATGCACCACCTCAGCCAACTCTGCTGTCTCTTGCTCTCCCTGCATTTATGCGTTATTAATAACTATTAAATATCATTAACTTTGCGTTTTTCGTCTCCTGTAGTTTGTGCTTTGTCACTGCTATTCTTACACCTCCTCGTACCGGTATCATCGGCTCCTGGGCTAAATCAACACTGTGTGTTATTATTATGTTGTTTGTTGTCTCCCTATGATCTTTTCTAAGTGTGCTCGAGGCGGCTTCCTGTTAAAAGGGTGTTTTATTCTCCCTCATGTTGCTAATAGGAGAACAGTTGGCCTTCTCTCTATAGAGAGACAGGGTTTTTATCTTGAAATAGAAACTGCTTTGAATGGATCAGAGCTGTATAAATAATAAATAAAGAATGAAGTTGACAAAAAACAAATCTAATTCTGTACGTGTTTTTCAGACCACCAGACAAATGAACACACATTTTAATTTCACTTACATGAAGAATTTATGTCGTTCAAAAATGAAATAAATAAATAAATAAACCATAAAGTAAAATAAAAAATTAACTAACAAATTCTCAACTTTCTAAACAATTTTTGTTGTAAATGATGATATAGTCTACAATATACTGAACTTCCTTCTACACCTGATTTAACTCACACTGCTGTGTTCTTGTTTCATTACGCAATGGCAACATCCCTTTGTTAACTGTGCAGAGTCTAATCTGACTGGAAAATTATACTTATTGTTTTGTAATTGTAATCTAACAAACAATAAGCTCTCCATTTTTGGATTTACCAGATTTAATCTGACCAACAATGTTGGGATTTTGCCCAGCTTTTGTGTTTGAACTTCTTCCCCTCCACAGTTGCTTTTCAAAAATTCAAACTGCTCAAGAAAATCCACCAAGAAGCTCTTTAACATCCAAACGATGCCAGTGATACATATACTCCAATAGCCACTCTATTTCTTGTTCATTACTTTACTTTAAACTAGGGATGCACCGATA